GGCCTGCCACTGCCCGCGGCGCCGGCAATGCGGGATCCCCAGCGGGAGGGGCCCAGCCGCTCCCTCCCGCGCCCGGAGGCGGTGGTGGAGGAGAGCGTCTGGGGGGAGCGTCGGGCCGGGCCGCTGCACCGCGCAGCAGGACTCGCACGCGCAGCCGGGTCCCGCAGGCCCCGGGCTCGGCCCTCCTGCGCGGGTGTGCAACACGGGCCTCCGCTGACCCTGCCCAGCCTCAGCCCAAGGAGCTTCTGCCAGGCTCGTCCGGACACCGCCGCTCCCCTGGACTTGGCTGCAAGTACCTGCCCCAGGGCCTGGCCGCGGGGTGGGGATCCACTGGATCCAGGGTTTCCGTATTGGCTTACATCTTCTTCCCCTTCAGGTCTTGAAACTCAGTTTTGGGGGGTTCATGGATTTGCTGGCCTTGCACGGTCAGAAGCCCAGCTGGAGGGGATTCGCAAGCAGTCTGTCCCTTTGGGAGTACGAAGGGCACTTGCACGAGTGAATGGGCCGCAGATGGCTAGTACCAGCTGGCTGTGCAAGACTGAGTGGCTTCAGGGTAACTTGTGGCAAGGAAAAATGTTTCAGTGGGTCGGACCTTGGGCTGGGACTCGAGAGATTCAGGCTGAGTTTCCTGCTCTTCTGCACGCTTCCTTCGTGCTTTGGGCAAATCTTTGTGGACTGGTAGTGAAATTAGAATAAGAGACAATAGAAATATAAGATCTTATGATCATACATTCAAGATTCATTAGGTGCTTAGGTATGTTAACATGGACAGTGTGAGAATTGAAAATAGGTGGAAGTCAGTAGCACAGCCTTTTAAAGGCCGCCTGCAATGTCATAATATCGGGGGAAAGCCCTTTGTCACAAAACTCAGGAGCAGAGCAAGCATTTTAGACCCTAACAAAATGCGTAACCGTCGGGACATCCTGGGGACTGCTTATGAAGAACAGTTCGGGGCTGTGTGCCTTTTCCCTAACGTTGGACAGAGCCAAGTAGTGCATGTGCCTACAAATCGGAGATTACGTTTCTGCTAGCCACGGGTAAAAGCATGTGATTTGAATCGGTCAATAATAAATACTCTTAAAGCTCAAGCTTATGGATTTCACAGTATTACATCTCTGAGGAAGAAATGGCTCAGTTGATGAGGTCAGACGCGACTAAAGTCTGTGCAAAACGTTACCGTGGAACCAACTTTAGTGCTGCGTTTCTTTTAGCCTTGTAACTGCACCTGCCCTTTCATCCAGGGTGCAGGGCTGAATTTCACGCGTGTTTTAAAAACCTGGTACAAAGGGCCCTGTTGCTATGTCCCAGAGGGTTGTTCTATACCTAGGATCTGAAGGGTAGTGTGGCTGGCACTTTGGATCATTTCTGTTGCTGTTTTGCTGGAGTGGCATCTTTGCATAATGAAGATGCACTTCAGAATTTGCCAGCCCTTTCCTTGTCTGATTTTGAAAAGCCTGCACAACTTACACAACCGCTCTGCAAGTTTCAGCAGCACAGGGTTCACGCAGCTGCTTACAGCTCCGGCAGCGACCTGCCTTGGGTCCCGGCCTGGGTGGAGAATGTCAGCTCGGATGAAGAAACTTACGAGGATGTCTTCTGCAAGATAGATAAAGTTCTCCTGGCTTGAGGGAAAGCCTGAAGAAAGAGTTCAGGCTTCATTCTCTCAATGGCCTTATGTTAAGCTACCAGCTAGCTTTTATGACCGTTTTAAATTTCTCATCTTGTTTTCCTGTAGATGGGAGCTTCACAGTGGGACGTGGGATCCTGTTGTGTTTACGTGTTCACGCCTCAGTTTTTGTGTGGCCTCATTTTACTTTTTCTTGTAGATTGCACATAGTAACCTGGAATGTTGGCACAGCTTCCCCCCCTCCAGATGTCACTGACTTACTTCAGCTCAGTTCGCAGGGCCTGCACATGGATATGTATGTTATTGGGTAGGTATATATTAAAGGAAGTTCTAGAGAGGGTGCTTCAAGTTTACTGCCAATATGTTGGGTTTTGGTGACTTGCTCAGAGCTTTTGAAGAGCTGCTATTACTGTGATGGCTGTTCAAAGGTGACTGAGCTCCCAATAGGTGTATCATAATATCATTAACTGCAAAGGCTAAAAGCTAGGGCCTGCGAATGGAGTTTGTGAATGTTGTGATGGATGGCTGGATTGCTTGTGTCCTCAACTCTCTTCTTCCATCTCGTGACAGAACTGAGCCATGCTCTCTAAATACATACAACACATACAAAATGATTCCCCATGGGAAAAGTGTCCAGTGAATGAGGATAGAATTGTCTAGGGCACAGAATAAATAGTGGAGAAGGTTTTCCAATAACCATAAAGAATTAGTGTATGTTTCTATTCCAGTCTAACACCATCACAAAAGTAAGTGCTACAGGCCCTGATAAATGGCTTGCTTACTCAAAAAAAACTAAAGGGTTTAAAAATGTTTACATCACTGGCAGTTATTAACCACTCTGCCCTGCGCAGGATGATCAAAGAAACTGGGGGAGCGTGTGCTTGAGCAGAATCTCCCTGCCTACTATGTTAGTTTAAGATGTTTGTATCCTTAGGCTTGTATTACCCCGAGACTGCCAACGGAGAGGCGATCTACCCAAAGCATCCTTTACTCAAATCAGCCGTTTCTCCATCCTTTGGCTAAAATGCATTAGTGCTTCATGACGCATGTCACCTGTTGCACTCTAGCTTCTGTCTGTCTGGGTTTGCTTTAAATTCTGACGCTGAGTGTTGTTAAGCCCCTGTGACTTTCCTGTTTTGTCACTACCTATATGGATGGGTTACATTCATTCTGATCTGACCTGAGAAGCAAAGGCTAGTGTGCCTGCTTTTGGAGAGGTTTACTTGGATGCCATGGTTCTAGCCTTAGCTTTTTGTCCCGTTGTGAAGTTTTGAGGATTCTGTCGGAATCTAAGGCTAGGCTGAGCACAGGGTCTGAGTAAACCCCGGTGTGTTCAGTTTACAGGAGGTGAACTCGAAGATTGTGAATTTCCTTTCTGATTTGGCATTTGATGATCCATGGAGCACTTTCTTCATGGATGTTCTTTCTCCTTTGGGTTATATCAAGGTAAGTACTTTGTTCAATAATTAGTCTAGCACAGAATAAATGTGTCCTTGACATCTCCACCCATTTTTCTTGGGTCAAAATGATTTCTGTAATAGGTGTGTGCATACTTTGGCAGCTGGTATTGAGTGCATTTCTGCAGACGCCAATAGTCTTTGCCCAGAAGTCCCGCTGAGGCAATTTTCTATTGGGGTCATGTCCTACTTGCTTGTTTTTACAGGCATTTGGAGATATTTGTCCCTGATTTTGGCAGCCTTGGTTTTAGCAACAAGAATTGCATATGTGGGCTTTCATTTCTCATTCTGAATAGGGGGCCTTGTTAACATTTTGCAGCGAACATGCCAGTAAATTCTGTCCTGAAGTTATTTGTGTGGTTGCCACCACCATAGAGCCAGTGCTGTAGAACCATGCAGCCGGGATCTCCATTGGCATTGCTTGTGTTTTAATGAGTTTAAATTCCCGAGGAATAGAGAAATGAATTTTAGCTCAACTTTTAGTTAAATCCACTCATGTGCAGCATATCACTTGAGGCCACAATGGGTATAGCTTTCTTCCTTGGTTTTAGAAAACGTTTTGCTCTGTGCATCCTCTTGGAGCTGTAATATAGTTTCTGCTAATGTAATCTACTGGAGCACCCTCTTTCATTACAGTTATTTTAAGCAATGACTATGATTTCCATGGTGCTCAGTAAGCTATTTTGTACCTGTAATACGAGTGGAAATACCCTGTTTTTGAAGTGGGGGAAAAAATGTAATGAGTGTTTTAGTTAATTTCTGAAAAGGTTTTTGCTGACAGTGAGGAAGGGTCTGGAATTTCATAAAGAATGCTTGGGTGACACAGCTGCTTGTAGTCAACTAGTTCAGTGAAAACAGCCTTAAAGCTTGTAATTTAGCAAAAAAGATGTAGTTAAGCAAAAAAGATGTTGTTAAGCATCTAATTTTAGACAGTTTTACAGAAGAATGAAGCCTCTTTTCAGTCCTGAATGAGGAGTGTAAGAGACTCTGTATTCCAAGGGTGTAGTATGTCTGAAGTACAGGCGAAAGCGGTGTTTCTGATAAACAAACACAACATGGTCACAAAGTAAAACTAGACGATTGAAAAATCTGATGCAGTTAATGTTAATTTCTGTATGTTACCGTATTTTTCGTGAACTGTCTGTCCCCAGAGAAGATCAGCACCTTGTTTTGGGACAGCAGAATGAAGGCAAAAACAGGCTTTTTCCAGATCTTATGGAGCGGAGCCTGCTCTTGAGCATTACTCACTTGCCTTGTAAACTCTCTGCAGCTCGAGCTTTAACCCCTTCACAGCTTGTGATGTGGGAATGAATCTAGTATTCAGTGCTGCGTGACTGCAGATTGCTTCTCATTTACCAAACACACAATCCAGCACCTACTGAAAGATCTAATCAGAGTGTTTCGTGATATCGTGGCTCAGTTACCACTCTTCACTTCAGCCCAAGGCGAAAGTAATCTGTACTAGAGGCATCTTGTTATCTGAAAGTTCTCGATAGAATGGGGAGTAGCACTAAACTGCAAGTCCTTGGGCTCAATTTTGTGTCTTATGTCATTAAGATAGCCATGTATATTGACCGAGCTGAAATCCATAATTTCCTAACTAGGCTTCTTTCTAGACATTTATTTCTGGCAATAAGTGGATGGTTGTGTGGCTGGAAACTATAGGCTAATGAGGCAGTAAAAGATTAATAGCTGGTCTTCGGAAGCTGTCATATTTTTCATACAATTAATATTTTGAGGCCAGGTTGTATATGGAAAATAAATGTATATTAGAAAGACTGGGGTGGGGATACTGGGGTATTCAGTAACATGAAACACTTTGTTAGCTTCACCAGAGTCGGACAATTCAGGACAGAGTCTTTGAATCTTCGAATTACAAGCTACTTGGTGCAAATATGTTCTGAAGTCGCTGACCATACTTGGCGCTCAACCTGACGCACCCTACTGGGCCATGCCTTTTAGAGAGTGGGTGCTGAGTCATTTCTAAAATGCTCCAGTCATCAGTTCTCTGCTGTTTATTGTAACAGAAATATTTATTAAATAGTTTTATAGTTTCATAGATTAAGGGTCGGAAGGGACCTAGTAGATCTTCTAGCCCGACCCCCCGCCAGGGCAGGAGAACAACAAAACCCCAAAAAGAGAAACGGGACTCAAACGAGTCCAGCCAGGTAGGCATCCAGCCTCTTCTTAAAGCCCCCCAGGGTAGGAGCCAGCACCACCTCCCTTGGAAGTTGGTTCCAGCTCCTAGCCGCCCTAACTGTGAAGTAGTTTTTGCGGATGTCCAATCTATACCTCCTCTCCATCAACTTGTGCCCATTACTCCTTGTTATGCCAGCGGGCGCCAGGGGAAACAGCGTCTCCCCCAAACCCTTCTGGTCCCCCCTAGTGAGTCTATAGACGGTCACCAGGTCCCCCCTCAGCCTTCTCTTGTGGAGGCTGAATAGGTTCAGGTCCCGCAGTCTCTCACTGTATATAGTCATACCTTCTCAGGTTCTGAAAACTAACCCTCAGTTGTTGAAATGTTCCACTTTCCTCCAAGTTCTTCAGTACCATTATGCATTTTCAGGGAAAAATATCCACAATCCGTGAAAAGCTCAAAAATTTAAGGGCAGCATACTATTGACTTTAATTGCAGCATAAGTAATGACGAACACAGTGCTGATCAATTTCATGCTGCATAAAAGCAGTCTGTTTTTAACATGCAAGTACCGTTGGCCATTGGGGGCAGCAAGTACTTCTGGTTCTTTGTCACGGGTCGAACTTGCCATAGACAATATGGGGCATGAAGTATATAACTTACTTTGACTAAAGCTTTCCATGGAAGAAATTTAAGTAGTCATGGAATTCACAGGTACCTCTAGAACTGATCATGCCT